CTGCAGATGCAGCTCAGCTCCTCCGTCTGCAGCAAAGCACATCTCACTGGTTTTTAACAACCAGCCTGCAAGATCAGACGGGCAGGCACTGGGACTGCACAAAGCCAGCCCGAGGTTCTGGCCCAGCACAAAATCTGCATCCGAGTTGTGCTCCAGACTGAATAAATTCCTCCTTTTTTCCAAACTAGCTGTTAGATCAATTATTTACCGTAAGAAACTCCCCACACAAAGCCTTTCTAGCATGGAATAACACTCTTCATTGTTGTTTGCATCTCTGAATCAGCTTTGCAGTACTGCTAAAAAACAGAAGGAGCTCTATTTTTCCAGAGAGAGTAAAGGCAGCAAAATCTTATTCTCCCCAACTGAGTGGGAAAAAAAGACAAATTATTTTTAGATTAGCACTGTTTTCCATTTCTCCCCAAATCCACAATAAAGTTTTATTTTTCCCAATTCTAGTTGCAGCGCTGTACTCTTAGAAAACACAGCTGTTGGCTTGGTACTTACTTGTATGCAGTTATTGCATTGCTTCCTATATTTTCACATGGATTTTTTAAATACAGAAGCGACATAGGAAATTTGATCTAAAATGCATCAGCTATGACCCTTTTTCTCCTGTTGGATCATATGCTTTAACCAATAAATTGTCTCCATATCTCAAATGGACAGGATATCATGTAACACAAAACAGCACAGAAGCAAAATTGAAGGATGAGAAGCTAATTTTGTGTCCATATTTAAGAAAAGAAATTAGAATCTCACTTTCAGACAGTGCTCATGGTACGCACAAAAAAAGAAAAAAATTTTTTTAATTCTTGTCTGCTCTGGGTTGAACTTTCCATGACTTTCTGGGTTTCAGCTCTGTAAGAAATGAAGCAGCCCAACAGAAATTACTACAATATGGGTCAGTAAAAGAAGATTAAGATCCTTCCAAAAGTAAGGTGGAAGTGTCAAAACTGGCTGATTTAAAGCACCATACTGTAAGTTTCCCTAACTAACATTTCAATCCAACCAATGTTTTAACAGATCAGTAATACTGAAATTTCCTAAGACAGCAACAGGCATTTCAACAGAATGCTGAAAGCATTTCATATACTCCATTCACATTCCTTACTAAAGCTGGACAACAATGATTTAAAGTTTAAAATTATTCCATTTGAATTGCAAATAAAATAACATTTCTGGTAACATTACAGACATTGGCTATGCTTTTTTCAACAGAAATGCATTGTACAGACAGAGTAATACAAACTGGCCACAGTTTAAAAAATAAAGCTTACTTATTTTCTTGGTTCAATTATAAGTATTTTTAAGGTATTCTGCTATCTTAGAATCTGCTATAGGGAAGTAAGCAGCCTGCAGTTTGGACACCTTAGACATGAACACAGATTCATCCTAAAATTTTAATATTTTCCTTCATTGATACAGCAGATTAAAGGACAGCTTAGACGCTTTGGGTCCAAAATTTCTGTAACACCAGTGCAGTTGCAGGTCCCTCAATGCTAGTGGTTAAATTTGGGTTAATACAGTTCTATCCACAGACAATTACACGTGCAGATGATGAGAAAGAGCAATCTTGCCCCAGACCAAGGTTGCCCTAAAGAATACAAGTTACCAGTCCAGAACAGTTTACCCAAACTTTCCCATGAATCATCATGAGCTACGAAACATTTCTCAATACCCTGTAGCAAACTCAGGGCTTGTAATACAAGTATAAACCATTAAAAAGATAAATAGTAAGTCAGACACTGTAGCTTGCAAGAGAAGGAAGGAGAAAGCCCATTTTGTTAATGACACTGGCCTCAAGGCTCTGGCTGTCCAAACTGAAACTTTTCAAACCTTTCACCTGATTTTCTGAGGATCTCCAATAACGAGGAAGCAGTTCCACACAGCTGGCTGCTGCTGCCTGGCCTCTGTGTGTTTGCTTGAGTACACAGAGGGAGAATGGATTGCACAGAAAAAAAAAAAATAGATGAAAATGCTGATAAAAATCAGATTATTATTCCAAGTCTGATAATTACAAAGCCTGCAGTAAATTAAATGGATTTTTTTTGCAAATTCCATCAATACATTTCCATGCAAACAGTGTTTTTTGACAGCTGGTCAGGTTACACACTATGCCAAAATGCTCTACAGTTTCAGCTGTAAGAACAACTATTAACAAAAAGCTTGTACTCAACAAGAAAAAAGGGAAGCAAGAATTTGACAAATGACAATTGTTCTTACTAGTAAGAGAGAGGGGCTTGATTTTTTTTTGTTTAAGAATCCCCAAGATGATACAGCTGTAGATATAGACACACTTTAACCTCACTTTTGCCTGGTGTGAGAAATGGGCAAAAAAATGCCAGGTAGATCTTTTGTCCAACAGTTCAAAACAAGAACCCGACCTGTTTCCTACAGCTTTGACCTCATCATTAGGCACCAAACTTGTTTCTGAGAAACAAAAGAGCAACGAAAATTACTTGAAATATTCAAAACACACTGGATTATGCAGCCTCTGCAAGCCAGTTGCACATTTTTCCTTAATAATTATCTCCATATAAAAGAAAAATAGTTACTGGATCAATATTCACTTGATGACAACAACATTCATGGGATAATGTCCACTTTCCCAAAAGTCTTCCAGGGAATACCAAATTAACACCACATTCCTAAGGAAACATCACCTAGTACAACCCTACTACAGCACAAAGAGAGATCCCACCCTGGTGCTGACACCTGTGTTCAAAATCCATTTGAATTGTTTAAGAAGAACTTGTACAAGGTCAAGTCTGTCAGAGTCCTCAGTGTGTTCTCAGCCTGACATTATTTCTGTGTAAGAAGGGAAACAAAGCAGATGTGTCACTTCAGAGCTGTGTTTAACCACAAAAAAGCTTCTTCTCAGGGCTGCAATTACAACACAAACTCCAGCTCATTATCTTTTAGCACTAATGATAATTTTCAGAGGGCTCTCAGACTAAGAAAACAGAACTTTACATGGAATTAGGTAGAAGAGCTCTCAATTTTAGACAAATCTCTTCCTAGACATGGCTCTCATCTTAAAAGCACAATAATGCATGGGACAGGAAGCACATGTTTTCTTCCTTGAAGTAAAACGCTTGATTTGCTTCTCTTCCTCTTGTGTTTCTTTTCAGAAGTGTGAAATACACAGAGACAAAACACATAAGATACAAATCTAACCCAGCCACGATACACATTGAGGATAAAGTGTGCAAACCCTCAGAAATCCTTCTTCATAAGCTCAAGAGATGAGCCAGTGTCAACTCCTGTGCAGTGACGAGGGACCTCAGCCCATCCTCCCAGGTTGCCAGGCAACTGTTCCTGTATCCTTGGCTTTATTCATCAGCCATTAGGCACCATCAGGCTCCCTTTCTTTTCTCCCTCACACAGGCTCCCACTCTCAGAGATGGATGAAGGGGAGGGGGAAGTTAAACAACATGACTTTTTTTCCAAGCAGAAGCAACATTCTGAGCTGATAGGTTTTAGCCAATTCACACAACTCAGATAATTGCTTTGTAGTGAAAGGTACAGCAGGATTGCAAGGTATGGCTGCATTAGGAAGAGGGTTCTGTTAAAAGCTGACATTAATGGACATCTAATATTATTAGACGATGACCTCATGCTGACAAAAAAATGCCCTTTGAATTTCTAAAAACAACCCCAAAAAAACAACAGATGAGAATTTTTTTAAACCCAGAAGAATGGCATTCACCATGAGGAAGTGGCAGGGCACAGGGCAAGTGGCAGGGCCATGCTGAGCACAGAGGGGAGGACACAGCTCTTTCAGCTGAAGTCCTCTCTTGCATCACCTTTTGCTGCCACCAGATAACCAACAACTACTGAATCTCATTTGGTTCCAGAAGCATCTGACATTTAAGGGCAAATCCTGGGCCTTTAAACCAAATACACAACTCAACAAATTTTGACAGAGGATATTTCCAATTTATTGTGCTCCTGGGACATGGGTCTATGGCTTGTGCCAGTATCACAACCCCAGTACTGGCATATGAAGTGATGGTTTCTGTGATGTCTACATGCATTGGTTAAATTTGGGGCAAGTTTTGCTTGAAAATAAAGATTTTTGGGTACACTGCTGCCTTCATCCACAGACACAGCAGGGCATGTAGAATCAAGACGCTCCAAACACTGAAAATTACCCATTCTGAATTATTTCAATGAAGGAACAAGACATGATAAACATTCAAATCAGGTACAACCACGATAAAGGACACTTAGTTGAGATTAAGAATACTTAGCTGTACTCACAGGTAACTAACTATTCATAAAGTTTTTTTTTTAAATAATTATTTTCTGCAATGGTTTCCCAAACAAAACAAGCTTGCTACAGCAAGTTAAACAATTCTGAAGGAGAAAGGCTAAAAATATGCAGTTAGAGGATACATTTTCCATATACATGAGGAATCAAAGCATATACATATATAATGAAAGCTGTAGAGTGCTGAAAATTAGTCTCTGGTTTGGCTCTTACTTTCCTACAGATATTTAATTACCCCTTCATCATTTTCACTGCCTTGCTCCCTATACCAGGAGTATGGTACCATGAAAGGAAAATTAAGAGGAAGAAAAATGTGAATTACCATTCTACCAATTTTGTTTGCAACTGAGCTCCCAACATACAGAATCTCAGAGCTGCAACCTGATTTTCAATTATTTATACTTTGTTGCCTTTTTAATTTCATATTTTCCATTCAATTAGAATGATCTCTCCTTCATATGCATATTCAATTTGCAGACAAAACCAGACAGTTACCAAGGCAGTATGTAAGACACATAAGCATTCACGCCACTGTCTGTCATTTCTTTTAATTACTGAAGCCATACTCAAATTACTGGCTTATGCTTACACTTTATTTTAACTAAATTTTAAGTTTTGCAACTTGAATCCTTATTCTTTATTCTGAGTACACAATATCCTCACATTTCTTCCAAGCTGAATAATAACCATGATGAAAAGAAAAGTTAGAAGAGGTTTTTTCATTTACCTTAAAGCCAAGATGGGATCAGCTTTGTAGAGACTTTGTCACGAAGGCATATTTTCCATCTGGCCTCTACACTAATTCTCTGCAAAAGAGGGATACATCACATTTTATAATACCACTCCTTGAAACAGAAAACAGATCATTTGCAATGATGCAAATTGTAAATATAAATAGAAGATGCATTTTCCTGACACTGCAGCAAAGTAGAACATATTTCGAAGCATGATGATACTTAGGAAATATTTTTCTTACTTAGAGAAACAAAATATTGGCCTAAAATGTTAAAATCAATGTCCTTGTATCCAGCAAGGTCTGTTTCATGAAGACTCATGACTCCTAAGCAGGGCATTTGTGGTGGCACTTCTGCTATACTACAAAACACTGGACAACCAACAATGGCCTTTGTTATCCATCAGTAAACAGGAAGCGTTCTTATTACAAAAAACAAACAACATTGATATTATGATCATTTCAATATTTCATGTATTTCCCAGTGGCAACCTCATTATCACCCATATAAATCTCCCTCCTCCTTTAATGCAATTTAATGTCGATGTGTTCCTTCCTTAAGCAAAACAAGGCAGTTCAGTACATATTTAAACAGTCTCTCTGCATATCACTGAAGTTCAGTCGTAATCAAGGCTTATTATAAAGATTCCACAGACTGCTCCACTAATAAGCAAGCTTCCATTGCTGCACTCCATAAATTATAAAACAAAGAGGGAAAAGGACCAATAGCAACCAACTTTTGTCATGACTTTCTGTAAACACAACCATATCAGTAACGTAATTTAAAAAAAAGAAAAAACCAACACATAAATGCACCATGACTGTTGAAGGAAAGAGTGGCACTCAGTGCCAAGGTCTGGTTCACTCGTGGTGTTGGATCTCAGAAGTCTTTTCCAACCTCATTGATTCTGTGACTTCTTTTCAGCGTCCAGAATGCAGAACCCACCCAGCTCCTCCATTACTCCATTTCAGAGCACCACAACCAGCACTAATGCAAATAAACACACTGAACTAGCAGGAGTTCCATCTTCCAGACACCTGGCTTTAATAAAAATGTTACTGATTTTACAGTTAGAGCAGGAATAGCAATGTTAGATTGGGATGCTCAGAGGTTTGTACAGCCAAGTAAAACGAAGAGAAAAATACCAGTCCTAAAGAAAATTCATGTTTTGCCTCTCAAAAACCCAGTTCCCTCTTCACAAGGCAGTTGAAAATGAAGCGCAGGATGGCTTTACTGGGTTCCAAAAATCACATTTCCTTGACAATACAATATTGTACTACTCTTCTGCAAAAGAACACCTCTAGACTATACAGCCCCTGTAACTACATCTTACATTCATAGTCTGACTGGACAAGACAAAAGGAAGATGAAAAAAACAACAAAAAACCCCAGTCTTTTCCCTGGACCTGGAAAAAAAACTATTTGCTCACAGGTCTCAGATAAAAGCTTCACGTTACAACATTTTATCTTTCTTACAGTTTTACTGCTCAAAAGATGAACTATGAGATTAAATCCAACTTTCTATTAAGCTCTAGAGACAATCACATGCCATGCAAGTCATAAGACTTCAGAGTTTGGACACAATAGTAGATACTGAATATATGAGGGAAGCATTTCAAAAAGGCATTAACACTAATAGGGCTTACATATGTGTATCAAGGGAAGAATAGCTGCTAAGTTATGACACTCTTCTGTCCTGACCCAAAGGTACAGAAAGAAGCTGTCTGTATAATTCCACTGAATTCTGAGAGATTCTCCTAAATTCACCCACTTAGAAGACTTTTTTTTTTTTTAAAGGCATCTGCTGGAGAGGAAAAGAAGTGAGGGGGGAAAAAAAGATGTCAAATCATACACTAATCACTCAAACATGGTTGTGTTTTACCAGTTTGAAGAACAAGTGCAGGGGCAAATTCAGCAGACACAGAATGGGGGTTGTTTTGTTAATTTAGTTGAAAATCAGTGGGGAAAAAAAAAACCCACAGTGAACGATTCCACAGAACATCGACAGATTATAGTTTTGTCCTGTCTCTCACATTTGGACATGAAGAACACTTTAAGTTTTTTCTGTCACCTTGACTAATAACTGCAGGCTCTCACACCCCTACAGCTTCTAGATATACAGTTAAAAAGGAGCAAAACAATTTGTTGACATAGCAGCAACAAGATTCAGGAAACTGAAAACAAAAGGTCATGTTTCAGTTTTACCATCAAGGGCCATTTATTTCATTAGTGACCACTTTCCTTGGCAGTAATGACTATGTTCATCCATGCCACCTATATATAACTTTTATGCAGCTAGCAAAGGTACAGATAATGACTCTGAAGTAATTTCAGTAGGGAAGCCTGAGGAAAAATATTCCTGTACACCAATCCTGAAAAAATTGTTCTCTCCTCTACAAAGTTTCTATTTTAGAAGGTAAGTATTTCTTGCTAGGAGAGAATATTGCAAATTAGAGCAGAAATCCCATTTCACTTAAAATTGTAATTCCTGTGTTTCACATGAGGCTCAGAATTCAGTGGGTAGAGAGGGCAGGGAGAGGAAGGAGGGACACAAAGATACAACAGCTCTTGGATTAGATGTTGCCACTTTCGATCCATCATCACATTTTCTCAGATTATGAAAATGTATTTTTCCCAGTAGTACATTTTACGCTTGACAGATTACAGATCAGTTTACACATTCACAATTGGAGCACTTGGATTTTACAAAAGTTCAGGTCTTTTGAGACCAGCATTTGTTATCTGGTTTGACATGAGTCAAGAGAAACATTCTATGAGACAATGCCAGAGACACTTTCTGGCAATGAAATGGGTGAAGTCACAAACCCCTTAATGATCTCTGCAGCCAGCCTGAATTTAACACATTTTCTTTGACTTTACAGCTGGCTCAGAAAGGTCATTAGACTATTATATCTACTGTTATGTAGAGCAGCACTATACACATGTAAAGTTTCTATAGCAACACTTTCTTAATTCACTCTTTAAGCAAAACACCAATTAGCTTTTTATTATAGCCAATTAAAAAAATCTGCACACTAATTGACAACCTCTCTACACAGAATTTAAGCTTATGCAGAGGAAAATTGCAGTAAAATTTTTTAATGGTAATAGCTTACTTCCTATTCTCCCCTGTTAAGAGAACAGTAAATTATTCCTGATCGGGGCTGAACATTTCTTTTCCAATCTAAACCACTTAGACACAGAAGTAACCTATCCTGATATGCCTTAAATCTGAGAAGAGCCTGAAGATTACAGGTTTCAAAAAGGCATCAAAAAAGTAATCAGCTGACTTATTTCTGCATTGCAGGAAACTGGGCATTGGCCCCTGCACCTGGAGATCATGCAAGAGGCAGCCAGCAAAGTGTTTCTCTTTCAGAGTAGCCAAGCATGTTGAGCCAAGTGAGAAAGACGGCAAAAAAACTAGTACCTAAAGTCAAATTTAGCAGGGCAGAAAAGACATTTTCATTTCCTTCTTAGTACTTAGTGTTGGTTTTCTCAGATGTCTTCTGCACAGCTGGTGATGACAGCTTCTTTGTATGTCACTTCAAGTAGCAAATATCAAGACATATTAGTCAGAAACCAGTCAGTGAACACAATATAAAAGGGAATACAACATGATGCAGAGTATCAGGAGAAATAGTCAACAAGAGAAGTTAAACCATCCTTTTTTGTATGATCTTCTGCAGGAAGCTGAATAAAAAACATTATTCCCCTTACAGTTCTTCCATGTGAGGTCGGGATTCACCTTACTAATAAATAAATAAATAGACACAGAATGAGGTGGCAGATGGCTCCTCTGACAAGCTCAGCATGCCCCAATCAAGAATTAATGGTACTTGAGGTATCAGGAGGTCTGCTGATTCTTAAGGACACACTACAGAAACTGCTCCTATTCTCACCATCTTATTTACACCCACTGTCCCATAGTGCAGTATTGACACAGAAGCCTGAGGCACCTCACAAGTTATGTGGGGAAACCAAAAGTTTCCCTTGAAAGGCTGACAAATAGAAAAAGGGGTTAGAGTGGTCTTTCAAACCTACCACTGTAGAGGAGAGATCAAGGTATCCACCACACACGTGAAAGAAACCACTGTGTGTAACCTTGGAGCTGCTGCAGCCTGCAACAGGTCTGGATACAGAGTCAGGCTCTGCAGCACTCAGGAACACCAGAGATAAGGGAGGAGAGCCAAGCAGCAAGAGCTACAGGCTTCTATCCTCAGTTCTTTAGGGAGGTAAACTCCCAAAGGCAGTTCCCTGAATACCCAGGAAATGGGAGCATTTTCAAATTCCAAGCTTTCCAAGTGCAAAGTGCTCACTGTCAGATGCAGAGCTCTACCTCCTGCAGGGAGACTGTCTCACTCTGTACACAGTATTGCACACAGAACACGTACTAATTCCAATTAATCTTATCATTTGCTGTCCCAAGACTTTGAAGATTTCTCCTCTAGTAAACCCCTGTGACCAGCACCTCACCAAAATAGGGTCAGTTCACCCTCACCTGCAGAGAATATCTCTCCCTTCTCTGCCCTCCATGGAAATAGAGCAGCCCATGGCCCAAAACAAGACCTGTCAGTAACAGTGATGCAGAAGTGAATACTTGAGTGTACCAGAGCAACCAAATAAGCTTTTTTTCTTCTTCCCTTTTTTTTTTAATTTTTTAAAGCTATCTACATTGGCATCTCAAGCCATTTAAAATTTCAGCCAGTCAGCCCACCCTGCCAGTTAAATATTATACAGACACAGAGTGCATTCAAGGAGAAAGTTTAGGGCAAAGTTTATAGGCAGCAGTCAGGATCCCCTTCAGTTGCTCTCTAGGAATGCACATTCCCAGGATCAGAAGGGCTCCAGCTGGTGACAGTCACTTTTCAAATACATCAGCACCAGATATCTCTTTCTTGCTGTCTTCCCTGCTCTGCTCCTTGCCAGGCAGCCTGCTCTGAGCAGGCACAGCCATGTGGCCAGGCGGCTGCTGTGTGATGTGCAAACCCTCCAGGGAGTACAACAACAGATATGATTTCTGGCACTCTCATCCCTGCCAAGAAAACACCTTCAGTGGCCTAAAATATGAACCC